TATCAATCCGTGAATCCGTGAAATCCTTTCTTCTTTCCTTCCTTGGATGACATCGATGAACAATGAAAGATCTTGAAAATATAGATACGATTGGATATATGCTATCCAATCTTACCTCTAGCTGCCTTTGTATCAATCCGTGAATCCGTGAAATCCTTTCTTCATACTTTCCTTGGATGACATCGATGAACAATGAAAGATCTTGAAAATATAGATACGATTGGATATATGCTATCCAATCTTACCTCTAAGTAGCTGCCTTTGAGTTCAATTACACGTACGACTAGCTTGACTTCTGTGTTTGCGACCCCTCAGTTTTGCTTTATTTCACTCTCATTGAGGATGAGGAGTCCAGTAAGCCAACTACGTTCTGCTGGCAGTGCAACGAATGACACTTCGTTTCTGCCTTTTCAAGAAGCACCAGTGTCGGAAGTGCCACAAAAATGGACACAAAGAAGAGTTTCGTAACACAAGGTTCTCTCAACAAGGCAACAAACCATTCGAACGAACAGCGTGTCCTTCAAAGCCACACACCATACCAGTACCAGCCACTTTTGACCCGGATTGGAAACGTCAGGGGAACTTCGTGCCAGCTGTCACAAATGGCACACCAGTGTGCCTGAAACTTGATACCACACCCGACATCACAAGAATTTCAAAAGTTACCTGGAGAATAATGAGTCGAACTTATTCAATCCCACAAATCGTGTTGCTTTAAACGTTTTTGGTGGAAAATCACAGTTGACCGGTGGGCTTTTTTGTTCTATGTTGTACAACAATATTCTTTCGCTGGAATATTTTACCTGACCAATGTACCACATTTGAACCTCCTTGGTTTGAACTAGATCGACAGACTGAAGCTGATAGAAATTCCCCTGAACGCTGTATGCGAACTTGTTAGTTCGGATTTCTTTCAAACCTCAAAATGGACCGAACATCTTTTGAAAACTTATGCGGCTGTGTTCAACGATACCCTCAAAAGCGTCGAAAGACGAAGGCTGTCCTGTTTCTACGTGAGAATGCAAAGTCTGCGCTCCATCCAAGGAGGCCTGTTCCATATGTTGTCTTGCCTGTAGTTGATCAAGAGCTGTAGAGGCTGCAGAACGAAGGAGTCATTCAACCAGTCAATCATTCTGAGTGGGCAGCACCGATTTTGGTCCTAAGGGTAAAGTCAGGATATGTGCTGTTTTCAGCAACACCAGAGGATCATCTATACCAGCTGCTCTTTACAGATGGACTGTTTTCCAAGCTGCAGGGTGGACACGTTTTGCCAAGCTGGATCTATCTAGCGCGTACTTGTGAGTTGATGCGTACGATGAGAGCGGGCACCTACCTACAATCATTACACATTTCGGGCTTTTCCAATAAAACCGACTACAATTGGGTGCCAAGTCCGCGCCTGCAATATTCCAGCAGCTAATGGCCACCATGCTACAAAGACTATCATTCCCTGTTGTTTATTTGGACGATATTATCATCGTCGGCTCTGACCCAGAAAATCTTCATAAACGACTCGTTCAAGTTTTTGACCGAACCAAAGACTACAAATTCCACCTCAGAATCGGGAAGAGTCAATTTCTCATGGATTCCATCAAATACCTCGTATTCATAATTGATCGTCATGGCGGAACCCTGGACTCGGAAAACTTACGTGCCATCAAACTAATGCCCCCACCCAAAGATTTACCTACATTGGGGACTCATCGGTAATTACGGCACTTTTGTGCCAGAAATGCATGATATTCGTGGTCCACCGGACCGTCTGCTACTCAGGGACTCTCAGTGGAATTTTGACGCTGATTGCCAGGACAAATTTCAGAAAAGCAATGCTTTGCTTACTTCGGACCTACTTTTGGCACATTATGACCCATCCCGTGATACCACTGTTGTAACCGGTGCATCCAGCTACGGTGTGGGAAAAGCCCTTTCACATACGTTTGAAAATGGCTTGTAAAAAGCCATGGCCCATGCCGCTCGATTTATGACGGCTACGGAACGAAGTTACAGTCAGATCAAAAAAAGAAGCCTTGGAGATTGTTTTGTGCTGCAAAAAAGTACCGCAAGCTGCTTTATGGCCGCAAATTAACTTTAATTACTGAACACAAACCATTATTGGCCGTGTTTGCATACAAGAAAGTCATTCCTGTCTATTTCGCCAATCGACTTCAAAGTCGGGCTACAGTCATACTCGGCTACAATTTTAGCATCAATTTCGAATCTACTGACAAGATCGGTCGAGGAGAGGCATCATCCAGACTTTTAGAAAATAGGCCACCGGACCCAGAATATTCAGTTATACCTCAGATCTCAGCTGAACCGGAAATACGATGTGCACTAATGGAAGCCATCAAGGGTGCTCCAATCACATTTGCAATGATACGCAAGGAAAAAAACAGGATCCATTACTGAGTCAAGTAAAGAGGTACCACCTCTCCAAATGGCCACAAAACATTGAAAAAAGACTTGCTTCAGGTTTGTGAACGAAGATTGTCACTTTCCGTTATTGAGGGAGCACCGTCGCCTCCGAGGGTACCTAATTCTTAATTATGCCCTGTTTGAACGGAGCTTGGCAAACAGGTTTTTCAACGATGAACCAGCAAACACACGGCGGGGGCATAGTAAGAAAAT